ATACGTCGGGTTCGTGTCGGGCTCGTAGCTGAAAACTAGCTTTACTTTGTTGTCTGGGTCAACTTTGCTAGCAGGAGACAGAGAGAGGCGTTGAAAGGCTGCTGCAACCAAACTTAATGTTTCAGAGGAAACACGAACACAGCGTATAGTCGAGTCTTAACAGCTTACTTACAGCTGGACTACACCGCCCATCAGGCTCAATTCTTTAGCGCTATGCCTGTAACACTGCCTGTTGCCTTCATATTAAATAATTTTTTGAGCACTGATTTGTAAAAATATTTCTTTACATCATTATGCTGCTGCAAGTAGGGGTGACATGAGCAGTGAGACTGAGACCCAGACATTAGAGCCTCTTAATGCGTGTTTTGTTTGGGTTTCCACCAGTGTGGAATTACCAAAAACAGAGAGGGCATAGCCGAACATATGAAACAGGAAAGTAATCCCTTTATTTCAACAAAGTAACTGTATTCTGAATACCACCTTTTTAAACGGTAACTGTAACGGAATACAGTTACTCATATTTAGTATTTTAAATACGTAACGGCGGCACATGTACTCTGTTACTGTCTGTGTGGCACACGAATGAACAGAAATGTTGAAAGGTTTTTTAAATCCAACCAGTAAACCGATTAACATGTTCAAACAGGACATCTGTGCCACGTAGCAGAGAGATGGTAGGTGTGAAAACCTGAGAGGTCTGGGTTTGTGATACCGCTACAGTTTCTCTGCTCCTTTCTGTCAGTGTGACTTCTGGTGGGAGTTTTGTGGTTTTACTGCAGTATAAATGAGAACACCAGCTGATGTTTTTTCCTGTGAAGTTGGTACACGAGGCTGGCCTTTTTAATAAACATGTTCCTTCATGTTCTGCATTTTAATGCCATTAACTCAGAGCTCTCCCATCATGACTCCTCATTGGAAACTTTTGGTTTTACATCTACAGGTCAGCAAAGGATGAGTGTCTTAGACCAGAGTGGATGTTTACACACCTGCTGTTAATATTTCCATCTACAGACAGGTTCATTTAGACAGTGACACTTTCATACAGGCCTCCATTATCACAGTAATTGAACAGTTTACTGAAAAACAGTTTCATGGCTGCGTGACTATAGAGGAGAGAAACAGCTGGTGGTCTGAAGCATACCACATCACACGTCAAACATGGTGGAGGTAACGTTATGGCTCGGGCCTGTACGGCTGCGGTGGAAGTGGGTCACGGTTTATTGATGTTGTGACTGCTAATCGAAGCAGCAGGATGAACTGTGACGTGTGACCTTTGCTCTCCGCTCAGAGTCACGCAAAAGCTGCAAAACTGATCGGACAGAGCAGGTGGAGTATGAGCCAAAGCAAACTGTAAAAGCAAATAAAGTAAATAAATGGGATGTTCTTAATGAAATTATGAAGTTTGACAGTTGAAGATTATACACACGTGTGTTTTCTTCCATATTAAATATGACACGTGTGTGGCTTAATGTCCACTGTATTGTTCGCTGCTGTGCAAGAAAGCAGGAAGTGTCTTAAAGCCACAGTGCTCAGGCTTATCTGCAGCTTTCTGCCACTGACGGCTCATTTCACTCTTGTGTCTCAGCCATGTGGACACAGCAGACAAACTTCTTCTTTTTGGCCACAGGTGAGATGCATTTGACATCACTGAGTAGTTTTCTTATCTCAGCATGTTTCACTTTACAGTCCAGAGAATAATCAGCCTTATTTCTCTTTTCTACAGTCTCTTGTGTGTCAGCTGCTGCAGGTCAGTCGTGTTTGACAAAATGAGTCTAAATGATAAAGTTTGGTGTAAATAACATGACATAAATGCTGTGCACGCTCTTCTCTCTTCTGTTAGGTGGTCAGATCAGATTAGCTGGGTCTGGGTCGACTCGCTGCTCTGGAAGAGTTTAAATCTATCACAGTGGCTCCTGTGGAACAATCTGTGACGATGCCTGGGACTTAACTGATGCTGAGGTGGTCTGCAGACAGTTAGACTGTGGAACAGCACTGAGAGCCACTACAAAAGCTCACTTTGGTGAAGGAACTGGGCCGATCTGGCTTCATTATTTGGGCTGTGCAGGAACTGAAACGTCTCTACGTAAGTGCGATCATGGAGGCTTTCAGTAACAAGACTGTGGACATCATGAGGACGCTGGTGTCATCTGTTTAGGTGAGAGATGTTTGGATTACGCACGGTGTGTCAGATACTGTAAACACATGTTTTTGGCTGCACTGTACATTAAACAAATCTGTTTTATCATCCAGCAGTTCAGGTATGAAATGTTTCCTATTCAATATGAATGCAGCTGTAATCCACAGAGAAAAACATCCACTGTTCTCTAAGCTATAAAACTGAAAACAACTTTGTCCACACAGCTATGTTATAATTATGTGACACCCGTCTCTACTGAGAGGGGCCCTGGGTTCCTGTTGTTACTTAGTGCTGATTCCCCCTTTCTGATGCTTGTGAAATGAAATATGCACTAAACTACACTATATGGAAACAAACCACACACTAGCAGGTTAATAAAGTTAACACTGCTTTAGTGACTGATTAGTTCCAAAAACACAAAAGAAAAGAAGTAAAATTGATAAAGTTGGTTGAGCAATGGTAAAGTATTTAACATCAACTGAAACCAAATAATTAAATAACAGTGTGGGCCCACTCTGTCACGGCTGTGGCAGCAGTCGTGTGGTGTAGTGAAGGAAGGACCCAAACTGCACTGGCTGTGATGCGAGTGAGCTTTATTACAGAAGGTGAACACAACAAAGTGAGGGCAAAACTAAAACACAACCTAAACTGGGAACAACTGAAGAACAAACCTGGAACCACAGAAACACGGGATGAAGAGCAAAAATGGCACGGAGAATGTTGGGCAGAGAGACGCAGAAATTACACATCATCATAGCTATAGTTGGACTCTTCAGTCTGACTACTCACCAAGTAGTGATGTGCGATACCACTGATTTCCTTTCCGATCCGATACCAAGTAAAATTCAGGGTGGTATCGACAATACTGATCCGATACTTTGTACAAAAACTTATTTTATTTATTGTATCTTTTATTGTATCTCAAATTACAGCTTCATAATGACCCCAGAACATCATAATAATAATAAATAATAATGGATTGCATTTATATAGCACTTTTCGGGGCCCTCAAAGCGCTTTATAATTCCACGAGTCATTCACTCTCACATTCACACACTGGTGGAGGCAGCTACAGTTGTAGCCACAGCTATATTTGAGGATCGATCCGCACATCACTATGACCAAGCAACAGAAAGTGAAAGAAGTTGCTTTCAGAGCGAAATCTGCTCCAATATAGCCAAACTGACTGTGTTTAATTTGTCAGATTTGAAATGAATTCGGCCCAAGAAAGATGTCTTTTTTTCTCTCTTTAGACCTAAAGAATCAGTTTTAAGAGTTTTAATCATTTGTGTTTTCAAATGTATAAATAGGCTTGCCCCAGAGTATCTTAATAGCTCTCTTTCAGCTATTTATTAATAAGCGACTTAAAATGAATGATATATATATAATATATATATATAAATAATATATATGCATATATATATATTAATATCATATAACACATATATATATAGTATATATATATATATATATATATATATATACACTTACTAAATACTAAATATATATATTATTAATTTTAGAAACTAATTAATATATATATATAAATTTTGCCTTAGACAGTCAGAAACATTATAATTCTGATCATGCATCAGTACATTCCCATATTTTTATTAATATAAAAAGAAAACTATTGCGAGACTATAAATATATATATGTGGCACTATGTTAAAGACGGAGACATGAAAATAGTAGCCCCCCATTTTATTTGATGCTCAGAGACATTTTCTTTTAGTAAGGCCACTGTAATGTCAGTTTTACTGTTGTATAAGTTCCACCAGCAGAGGGCGCTCAGTCCTGTATGCATCGGTAGCTGACGCTACACTAGAAGAAGTAGTGTCAGTGGTGAAGAGGCCCGCGCGCCGAAATAACTGATTAATCAGACATTTTTCTGTCTTTGCAGGTAAGCTGGGTGATTGGTAATATAAAACAGAGGTTCTAAAACTGACAGACAGCAGTAGCGATTAATGATAAATGTTTTGTTTGTGGCGAATGTTAAGCTAAAGAGCTAATTTCCAAGTTGGTCCAGTTGTTAGGCTGTGCCGATCCAAGTGTTAGACTGTACCTAAAGCTTGTGAGTTCATTGCAGGTATATTGTTGGGTTAAAGCTACACTTAATATGTTTTGCACAAATAGATTAAAACAGAAGTAAAAACAAGATAAAACTGTAATGAGAGTTCACTATGTTATTCATGCGTATAGTAAAATGTATTTTTGTGATTTAACCAGTTTATAAAAGTGGTGCATATGAATATGAAACTGTATAAGTTACTTGTATAAAGTAATGTTGTTGACACTAGACATTTTTCTGTCTTTACAGTTTTCTGTAAAAATAAATATGTTGTACGGGAGATGAGTTGGCCCATCATTTCAGCGGTGTAACATGTACGTTACCGAGGCGATATGCCTCGGTAAAATGTCAACCATATTTGCAATGCCGAAAACTCAGGGTTTACTCTACAGTTAGCCAGATAAGTAAAAATCCAGTTTCAGGCTTCATCAGTGGACTGTTAAGTGTTAGCTTCTCTTTATCACTTCATGAGTTTTTCAACTATGTGTCATACCCAAATGTAAAATTTTTGACGGTACTGATTTAAAAAAAAGATTCCCTGTGGGGCCTATTGTTCATGTTCTTTTATTTATTTATTGACTTTACTTTATTGTTCATATTATTGTCTAGTGGATGTTGTGCAAAGTATTGTCCTTAAAGTTAACATTCTGTGTCTTTTTTGTGCTGATAGAAAGCAGATGTAGATGTGTGTACCCAAGCAAATATACAATTTTGGTGTGTGTGTGTGTGTGTGTGACAAACCTCAGACCCCGAAGAACCATCAGAAGCCTGGCGGAGCCCCTACGACATAAGAGGCTTGAGCCACGCCGGACCACAACCCCCAAGGCAACAGGCCAGCAAACCATAATACTCAGTATAATTAGTAGATAGGAGACTTGAAATGTGAGTAGGGCTGGGCGATATGGCCTAAAATTCATATCGCAATATAATTTGAAGCATGTGCGGTAACGATATATATCACGATATATTATTTTCTTCTGTATAACGTATTTTCCACACTAATAAGGCACACTTAAAATCCTTTAATTTTCTCAAAAATCAAGATTGTGCCTTATGTATGAATTCTGGTTGTGCTTACTGACCTCGAACCGATTTGGGCATGCAGAAATCTGTTAAAAAATGTTTTAGTACAACTTTGATAAGGCGCACTGCTTGATGGATTGTCAGAGCATTACGGCTGCTGTAGTGAGGAGCTTTGCGGAGTAATCTGGGTCCAAAACTCCGTCTACTTCAGGTCCTAAAGTCAAACGAACACTAAGAGTTAAAACGGTCTAAATTCTTTAATTAAATCATCAGCTGCTTTATCGGGTGTAACAATTAAGTTTTACATCCATGCATCCATGAAAACAGAATTTATTAAATTTAATGGAGTTAGAAGTTAACAGGAAGTTAGCTCGCTAGTTTACACCTAAACATTTCATACCATGTTCTGACAGATACCATACACTTATCATTAGCATAGCAGGATGCTATACATGGGCCAAACTTCAGTCAGGAGAACAACTGAGATTATTCATCCACAATACGAGGTTAGTTATTAATATACTGCAACAACATGGGAATAGAACAGCTGCCAGAGAATTCAACATTAATGAATCAATGTTATGGAAGTGAAGGAAGCGCAGTTTTTGGCCTTCCCCGTATTTCAAAAGTGCTTCATCTCTTTGCTACGATTGTCGCCCGCCATATTTTGCAGATGATAATGGTTGTAGCCGCTGCGATGCTTTCGACCAAAACAGGCGCAGCTTGATGACATCATCAACATGCACTATCGCAATAGAGCGATATGGTCAAAATCTCTATCGTTGGCCAAATTTATATCGTTTATATCGCATATCGTTTATATCGCCCACCCCTAAATGTGAGTCATGGCTATTTCATGCTTCACTGAGTGGTTTATCAGGAGGGCTCAGTGCTGGTTCATGAGATGTGATCACATGTACATGAGGTTGTGGTTCAAAAAACTAAAACCCTTTAATAAAAATCTCACATGGTAAAGTTCTGGCTGTGATGCTATGAATGTGTTGCAGAATGTGATGCTTTGTACAAGTATCTTGATGCATTCTCAATCATCCAGGAAAGTAAATCTCCAAAAGTTGATTCTGTTCATCTGGACGTAGCGTTTTGTGGGAGAAACGTTTTGTCACTCATCCAAGTGACTTCTTCAGTCTCAGCTGACTGCAGGTTTCCCCAAATCTTATAAACAGTACATTGCAAAAAGAACGAAAACAACACCACTGAAGGAACAATGGGCTGGGAGGTTAGTTCCTTAATCATAATTATGCAAATTCTCATGACTATTGATCAACAACCACTGACTAAAACCCACTGATCAATGGCCATGAGTACTATTCACAGAGAGTTGGGGAATGGCTGCAATCACAGCATTGTAAGATGGCGAAAGATGTACCCTTAGGCCCCCTCCTCAATTCAGAGATGGTCTTTCCCGTTTTCACAGAAATGGCTCACTTTTTATTGCACAAGTACAATAAAAAGTGAGGTCAGCTGACAGTAATAATCTACTGACAGCACCAAGTTTATTTTCTTCTACCCCAAAGTTAAAAAACAAAAAACAAAGCTGTAAAATATCTGTGATTATTTTCTGGTGTCCAGTCTAACATGCCGAAATAGCTTTTTTTTAGTCTGACCATCAGACAAACTTGAAATACTGATTTTTAAACCATTTAAAAAGGAAAAAAAGAAAAAAGAAAACAAATTTTCTTTAAACTGCTGGAGAAATTCAAAAATTTAATCTTTTTTTAAATGTACCATGTCTCATGCTACTCATTGGTCTTTCGGTCTCAAACAGACACATCCGGTTCTGAAGCTTTTCTCTCAAATATATGGTTAGTGAAAGATAGTACTGTTGTCTCTAGTCTGCAGTTGCAGTTTAGTGTTTGTTTCTTGCACTTAGCTACAGCCAAAAAAGTCAAATTTTCCATCCAACAACTCAGTGAAACCCACAGAACCACGTGACAACAAAATAAGAACTAAAGTTTATCAATACTGCAAAGACACCAGATCACAGTCATCGATAAGCACATTTTTTCATCATTAAAGTTACTACTTTCATAAGATATACTAATATGTTTACTCATATCAGCATCTTCACATACTGCCAGCAGTTTAGATGTGTCTCAAATAAACATGAAATTCACAAAACTCAAATCTGGGTGTGATTAAGCTATCACTTTTCTTACTAAGTTTACCTAATTTTATTTTACGCTGTGAGCTTGAGTGAGGAAGTGTTTAGCTTATATTAAAGACTGTAAACTGCTTAGTTGAGCAGCTGTACCTCTGGTCTGATGGCTAATTGTCGTCCATGACTGACTTCTTCTGTTCTCACAGCTGAATACACTGCAGCCGGATCAGTGTCTGCAGAATGAATCATGTAACTTACTTTCACAGGAGGTACTGTAATAGTACTGTACACCTTAGGGTTATTTCTTTCCACTGCTTAACACTTCTGTTGTGAACAAACAGTTGACCAGAATGAACCCGTGGGTGTTTGTGCAAAAAAGGTGAACGACCACAGAGCTTTTATTTTCCGTTTCTACAAACTGATGCACTTCACCACAAAGCACAAAGCAAACATGTTCTCACAGCATGAAACCTAGAGTAGAACATACTGTAGTGAAGTTGCTGTTTTGGTTTTACATTCAAGACTCTAGAAAAGACTAAATTAAATATCAAAAAATAACATTTGATACATTCAGTCTACTCTTTTTTTTTTTAATCGCCCTCATATTAAATAGAAATTCATCTCGCTAATAAAAGGGAGTACCAAGACAAAACAGGCCTAATCTGAATCAGTTTGAAACTTGTTTCTCACTTATGACACAGGTTTGACCACACCTGACATGTGGCTCATGCAAGGTGATCTGTGGTTGAATCTATGCCATTTCAAAACATTACATTACATTACAAAATGAGAAAAATGGCAAAAATTAATGTTGAAACTACAGGACATTTCTCACATTTTATACAAGATTAAACACTTCATGAACATTTGCACCATGTCACCTGCTGCTAGTTGGGTTCTGAGTATCCAAGGACATAAAGTGTTTCAGTCTCAAACAGACACACCCTGCATTGAAGTGTGTGTGTGCAGTTCACAGTATCAAATTATGCCTGTTTCCTGTATCGTGTTTGTTTCCTGCAGTGAAGAGAGATGTGCATCAGTTAGCCACAAGTAAACAAGTTAAATTTTCCATTGACACCTCAGTGAAACCCACAGAACTACACAACAAAAGTGTCACAACAAAACTTTTTTCTTTGTTTGTTTGTTTTTAATAATGCAAAGATATCAAATACTATTAAAGGTATTAGTGTCAAAAATGTACTTACATTTCTAAATGACCAATTGCATTAAAAAAAAAAATTCAAAAAATATGTGTTTAAAGTTTGAGTATAATTTGGTTAGAAAAATATATGAAGCATATAAAAATAGTCAACATATGGATGTCCTCTGGTCTGAGGTGCAGGGGGGACCAGTTAGAGACCAGCAGCTGGATGTCAGTGATTGGACTGGTGGACTACTTCAGTGAATAATAGACGATGCCTGGCTCTGGTTTAAAGTTTTACTACGACTTTACCTGTGTCTTAATCAATCATAAAATTCACAAAACAAGCCTAGAACCCACAGATTTGTGGGAGAATAAATTCTTTGTTCAGTATTTCATAACTAATTGCTTGTTTGGTGGCCAGTTCCATTATGTGGTAAGGTTATAAATAGTAGCTGCTATCTGAGCATCCCACACTTGCTCTCATGTTGCTATACACGTTTGGGTTTCTGCTCGCCTGACTTTTATATTTGGTGGTGGTGGAACCACAACCACGTGGTTTGTATTTTGTGTGTCTTTGTCCTGTCTTCCTCTCTTCACACCCAGCTGGTTACTGCAGATGGCTGCTGCTCCCTGAGCTTTCTTCTGCCAGATGTTAAAACTCCTGTTCAAAGTTTTTCTTCGCACTGTCACCAAAGCGCTTGATCATAGGGGGTCATCTGATTGTTGAGGTTTTCTCTGTTTGTTGGAGAATCTTTACCTTACAATATAAAGTGCCTTCAGGCAACTGTTGTCATCTGGCACTGTGTATATAACATTGAATTGAATTACATTGAATTGAACATGTAATATCTAAACAGTTCATTCTTTGATGGACTGCACCAAATGGTTTATATTTTTTTAGTTGTAGCGTTCTACCCAGTGTTACACAGCATTCAACAACCTAGTATTCTGGATTGTTGGTTTAGCTTGCCTGTCTGACATCCCTACTCAATGACAGTAATTATTAGTGCAGAAACAAAACTTTGGACCACATATGTGGTCCTATCTGAGACTGCCAAATGAATGAGACTGCTAAATTAGAATGGAAACGTGAGGACATTTACTCTTTTGGGTTTTACTCTGTTCAGACTTAAAGACAAAGAGCAGCTGTACCTCTGATCGTCTTTGGGTTGATGGCTATTTGTCCATAAGTGACATCTTCAGTTCTCACTGCTGAGTACACCACAGCTGTATCAATGTCTGCCGAATAAAACATGTAAATTAGTTCAACAACAACAACTGCAATGAAATGATAGACTTTTTTATGTTTTTGCTAATTCCTTAAAACTCTGCTGTGAAACAACAGTTGACTAGAAAGAGGTCAAGTGTGAAAAAGGTCAACAACTACAAAGCTGCTATCTTCTGGTAAGGCAAAATGTTGCACTTCACCAAGAATTATTTTAGCCAAACCGCAACGCACAGCAGTGAGAAACATTGTCACGCTAACTGGTGCAACAGGAAGTTGCTTCTTTGGTTTTACAATGCGGACTTTAGAGAAGACAAAATAAATCATTATATCAAAAAGACATTTAGTCTGTTCAGCATGTCTATCTATACATTTCATAGTAACTAAAATTTTATATAATAACAACTCATGGATGTTTGTTGTCTCATTCGGACACTCACTAGTCCTTCCTTTCCTCCCTCTTTCCTTCCTCTTAGCATAGAGTCTCAGGATTTGGGGTGAAACCTCCATGCATGTTCAGGAGCTTTCTTGCCTTGATGTCAGTGGCTTCTATCACCTTCTTTGCCAGCTTATTATCCCGGCAAGGCATAGCTATTAATTGCCCAGATCAGACCTACTCAGGACTTACCTTGTCCTCTGCAGGTAATTGGCAGTTAAAGCTTTCCTAGCAGCATCTTTGTGGTTCCCATATCTATCTTCACAAGGTCGGCAGAAACAATTATTTCACAACTACCACCCATATTATGTGACAGAAAGACACAATTTTACCTCTGAGTTGTTTGATTGCCCTTTGCTGATGTTGTGATGATATGATGTCACTATATGTGATGCCTGTGTTGTTATCATTTGCAGCTTCTTGTTGTATAGCTGAAAAAATAAAATTTAACAACTGTCATTACTCTTACTTGCATGAAGAAATTATTTTGGAACTCATTTCTATGTTTGTAATTTTCAACAATGTGCAATTACTTCAATGGGAAAAGAATGTCAATCCAACAAAGTAAAAATAGTATTTTTTTAAAATCATTCAGCAAACCCAATCTTGTAAGATCAGGAAGTCTGAGTCTCACCTTCAGGTTTTCTGTGAACACACTGTCTCACCAGCAGAACCAGTAACACCAGTAGAACCACAACACTGACTGTTCCAACACATGTCAACACAGAGAGAACAGGAGGAAGAGTGATGAAGGTGGAACCAGGAGGAGAGGTGGATGTAGGTGGAGGTGTGGATGTAGGTGGAGGTGTGGTGGTGTGTTCCCCTAAAATAAAGCAAACACAGTCATTAAGTTGTCGTCACATTGTGAATGTTGAAAGCTGCAGAAACACAGACAGGTGAGTGTGTCACCTGTGACAGTGATCCAGCTGGATGGAGACTCTCCATGACCGCTGATGTCACACTTGTAGAGGCCTTCATCAGACCTGGAAACATGCTGGATGGTCATGTGACCTGTAGGCTGCTTCCTGATGAGGGAGCCATCTTTATAGAAAGCAGCTGGGAGGTTGGAGGGAGTGGTCTTTGTTTTACAGAGCAGAGTGACGTCATCTCCCTCCATCACAGGGAGGACAGGACTCTGCAGGATCACTGATCCACCTCAACACAGAGACAAACTACAGCATTTCATCCATTTACACACAGCTTCATCAACACTAACTCCACACACTCAGCTTACCAGTGACTGTCAGGTTAACCATGTTACTGATGGGACCCTCTCTGGACTCACACCAGTAAACTCCACTGTCTAATAGGATGATGTAAGTGACAATGCAGGAAGGATGAACTAAACTAGTTGGCGTTCCCCACTCCTCACATTCAGCTCTGGTTTCTGTGCTTGTGTTTCTCCTCAGAGTCCATCCAGCAGAGCTGTCGTCCTCCTCACAGCTCAGAGACACAAAGTCATATTCAAAGAACTGAGAGCTGCTGGGACTCACAGTCAGACGAGCTGTGAGGGTTAAAATGAAAAACTGATGATCTGCTGTACAGTAATTTTCTCCTACTATTAGAATCGTGAAATGTGTTTTACTTATTCAGTCATTTCATCAGTTTTATATGTGAGCTCCATAGTGAAACATGAACCCAATCACGTCATATCAGTGAGCATTTCTCAGGTTTAAACTGTGACAGAAGAAGATTACTGACCTTGGTTTGTTGTGCAGCTCAGCAGTGAGATCAGAACTAAAGAGAAATGACACTCAGGTTGATTTGAGGTGAACATAAAGAACAACTCCACACAAACAGCTGACAAATACACAAACTCATCTCTCTGTTATATCTGCTCATTTTCTATTTGATGTCGCCAGCATGTTTAAGTAAGAGCATTCAGAGTACAACTCCAAGCATAGTGAAAGGGCTAAACTAAAATGTGGATATTTTATGACATTTTGTATTACAACATGTTATAACGTGCTTTAATAACACTGTAGGCTGACCTTTGGCCAATGTCCTTGATGCCTTACCTACTAAAATGGTCTATTTTATTATCTAGATGAGTAGCAGAATTGACTGAAATTATGATTTGTGAAAACTTTACATTTTAAGACATATTCATTCAGTTTGTGAGTGAAACTTTATGGCATTATTGTGACACGATATGGCATTGTACTAAAAAATATGTATATTTTGTTTCAAAGTTTTGTTTCAAAGCTCCCTCCATGCTCTTTCTATATTAATCAACATGGTTCATTGCATTTTTGAGCTTGGGCCCTAACAATCAGGGTCAAATGTTTGGCCAGCCTTGGTAACTCATTCCAAGGGCTACTATATAGCTGTCAAGTTTAAAGATGATGCTTTTAAAAACAATTAAAAAAATATAACAGAAAAAAGAAAGAAATTGTTTGCAGTATACATTTTTGTTTTTTACGTTGGGTGTGACCTTGACAGAAATCTTTACTGAAATTAAAGCAACTCAGTGATATATTTAAAATTGTGGATGTTCAGTTTTTAGCACTTAAACTCCCAGAGAGCAGCCATTTGGCTGACATGGACAGCCAGACATGGACAAACAAATTAAGTGAACTGATTACCTACGTCTTCCCTTGAGGGAGAAAATAAAATTCTGACATCAGAAAATAGGAAACTGTTTCAAAAATGAAATGCAATAAATAAAAAAATAGAGCTCAAGGAATATCTTTGGACTCTTTGGACTCTGTAAATGCTTGGAATAAAATACAAAAAATGTTTCCTTCTTAATTTGGGACTCTCCACCATTTGACCTTAGAACTGAAGAAGCTTCTCGGATGAGAGGTGAAACATCTTCAAGCAACTTAAAGAAGTCCAGACGCCTTTCTTTGCAAGCTCCTTTGACTACGATGACCTGGATGACTGAGAACCTTCACAGACATATTTCCTTCTTATTATAGTTATCTCAAAATTGGGTCAGTATAAGCAAAATACCCACTGCATTTCAATAACACAGT